ACCGGTCGCGCCCATGTTGTCGCCACCATGGCCTGCGTCGATGGCAATCTTTAATTTTTGCAGGCTAAGAATGGCAGGCTGCCTGTTTATTCTAATGATAAGCCGCTTGTCCTCGTAATAAATACTGTAACCCCAATGCTGTGCATGTTTCAGTTCAATGATAACCCTGAACACATCATCCTCTACCTGCTCGTAATAAGCGTTCTTGATTTCTTTGGCGGAACTAAGTTGGGTGATCCAGTTGGTATTACTAGTAACTCCGTAAATATCGACGACTACCCGGGAGGGATTGATCTGTTGAATGCTTTTATAAGGCAGCTTTTCATCTAACAACACAGACACATAGTCAAACTTATCATCACCTGATACTTTCCAGCTGTTTGTGAGATAATAGGGCCGGATGACCAGTGAGCTATCGGTCTTAAAATTTGTTTTTGGAAGCCAGGCTACATGGCGGGCCGATAATTGTACTTTATAATCTTCGCCTGTGCTATCAACCACTTTAACGACTACGTTCGAATCGAGACAGGTCATCTTCGCGCCGCCAAGGCGGTCATCACCCAGGCCATATTCAAGATAAGGAAGCGGTCCGGTCGTCCTTCCTGGTAAAAAAACGGAATTCTGAGAAAAAATTGTGGTTTCTACACCGTAAAAAAGACAACAAAACAGGGCTAAACGTATCATAACAGAAAGATAACATAAAAACCCTTGAAAGATATGCCCGTAATATTACGCAATGGGCTTACAATTTTACTGAATTTCATGTAAGCAACTAAGAGTTAGCACTATGTGGATATAACTTTCGTTAATATTGTATTACGAAAAAGCGTAGTGCTTGTGCGTGATGAAACCTTATCCTGAAGAAAAAATTTATTCCGTATGACCTGGTTAAACGTGGTAGGTCTCGTGTCTGCGATTGCCATGATACTGCCTATCACCATCATATTATTACTTCGCCTATCCTGGTATAAAAGTTTTCCGGCATTACTTGCATATTACTTTT